GACAGTTAACCCTACTTTTTTTATACTAACAGTAGTAATTCACTAAATTTTTATATAATTAAATAATGCACCAAAGAACATATACTAATAACATGCAAAAAGTAGACAATTTCACCTAACTCGGTTTTTCTGGTATTCTAACTATGCAACAAGAGCTGTTACAAAGTCATTCAAGCTAGTCATTAATCTTCCCATAGAAATGAACCGTGTATTGTTATACAATATGTCATTTTATAGATGAAAACTTTCGCTTTGTATTGGTTATAGGTAATATATTATTAAATCTAAGGGAGAATTATTAACAAATCCTTGAAGAGAGGATTTCCTATTTGATAGCTCTGTAACCAAACAAAATCAAAGACAATAACAATTACAGTTTGTCTGGGCAATAATGATTTTATAGTGAGTAACTTACTTTTAATTTTGTAGTTTCTGTGGGGAGATAAAATGAGAAGATACTTAAGAGAAAATGTCACGTGTGTCCCACTAGGGGAAATTCATGATTTTTTTTTAAATATTGCCTTGTAGAATTAAGAACTTAAACCATATGCTATTGAAATATGAAATTATTAGCTAAGATTTTATGCTATATTAATTGGTATAACATAAACAAAATGTAGTTTAATAACATTTTTAATGAAAGACACTAAAACCTTGTGTCATGCACAGTAAAGGATACTCGTGATGATAGGGTTAAGAGATGTATGTTCATAGAATATAGGTCAACTAGAATATCAAGTCTTGGAAGACTGTTGTTTAAACTGCATTTGTAGCTGAAAGAGCTAGTTAAGATAGCATATCACCAATAAAATGTTAGTTAAAAGTAACTTTGAGACAGTGATCCCTGAGGAAACATGTCTTAGAGAAGAAGCTATTTCAAACTACATATTATCAAACTGTTGACTTCTGGAAAATAAGGTTACACGTAAGCTGTGTTGAAGAACAAGAAATTGCTGATTTTCTATAGTTTGCATCAGTGAATCTTTACAATAACTAATGTTTACTCCAGAAGGGTTCTGAGCATGTTTTTGTTCTGAACTCTTGTTTTGGTCTCTACTGGTTTGAGAGGTATGAAGCTGCAATGCAGTAATTTCATGGTTAGAAAGAAACCTAATTGAGTCATCAATGAGTGAAAGCTTTACAGTAAAAAATGTTATATAACTTAGATAGGTTTTTAAAATGTTTTTCAATTTCAATCCTATTGTCCAACTTCTAAGTAATGTTGCATCCTGTGGTAGGTATGTCTCCTCCTAAAGCACATAGCACTTGGGCTCAAGCTGCTGGCAAAGGTCTTAGTACTACTGGCTCTACCTCAGCTCCTAGTAATACAACTACTGGAAACAGTGATAAAGGATCACAGAATGGAAATGGTGCTACAAAAATCAGAATAGAAGAACATATGTCTGAACTTCGAATAGCTGCTGCTTACAGTGAAGGGTGGGGACAAACTGTAAGTTGTGTAGTTTTTGCTTGTTTTAAAAATTCTAGTGGGATTAAATAGTTTTATATTAACTCTTCAACTAGTTACTTAAAACTAATTTGATAGTTTTGTGTCAGAATTATCAATATATCTGTTTCTTTGAGATAATGGGATGTATCATTTCTAGTATTATCAAATGTAAAGTTAAAACCTTGAATTATTATTAAAAATTAAACTGATTATAGTCAACCAGAAACAGAATACTGTTCGGTAATAATAATAATAAAGGACATTTATAAGGAGAGTGAATCAAACCAAATATTTAATTGTGGATTCTTTTAAATCATATTATGCCAACAGTCAGTGCTTAAGTATCATTTAGTTCTGTTATATTTTGGTCAGTTAATTCTCATACTGTAATGATAAATCAGGCTTAACAGTAAAACTGAAGAATATTTGTTTTATGTAGTGACTGTTTTTGGTTTAAAATTTTCACAGTAAAATTTGTGCTTTTTCTTGAGAAATGAAAATTCTCAAGTATTTAATTATATTATTTTATTGTAGATGCAACTTAAATAAGGTAACATCACTTAACAAACAATTTTTGTTATGGTTGGTACCACATATTATCACCTTAGTCTAATTACTAATTACTCTTCTTTTTTTTTTATAACTATATAGTAATTGTTAATTAGTTTATAGCCCATATTTCAGCTGCTAATCTGCTACCAACTTAAAGGGAGTCCTGAGGAGGATTTTTTGTAGTGATAGGGGCTGGGATTCAATCCTAAGTGTTCTTGTCAGAAAGACTGGTATAAAAGGAAGTAAAATTGTTTGGATTTGTATTATTTGGGGTAGTATTGCATGTGTTATTGACTTGTGTAAAAGACTGACTGCAATGTTGTTTTTGTCTTGAACCAAAGTGATGCTGAAAATAAAACTGATTTACCACGTTGGCCTAGTGGGAATTAGGAAGGGAAAAGCAGTATACATGCCTTTATAAAATTAATTAGGTGTCTGAAAATTGCTTTATAAAAGATTTCAGGTGTCAGTCCACAATAATGTGGACTGAGTAACCAGAATCTCTTTCTCCTTTTTTTTATATACATGAAACCTCAATTACTTCATCCATTAAGTTTAATGTTAACATTATTTTTAGATGTAGTTTCCGTATATCTTTTTATTTATGACAGTTTATGTAAGGCTTCGGAGTTTGAGGGTTCAAGGGACCCCTTACTTCCAAATCTTGAGGATTCAAAGGAAAAGTTGGAAGGTGTCTGCTTTGAATTCTGAGAGTAGTTTTTCAGGTCAAGTGTGTAGCATCTTTTTGTGTTGATATATTTGATGATATATTTGGTTCCAAAATAAAATACTTTAATCAGTTTTAATATTTTGTCCATGAGGTAAAGTGAAAGCACTTTTTAATTGTTCTTTTTCTTCTTTTTTGAATTAAAAAAAATGGGAGTTGTTTGGTGTGGCAGAGTTCAAATACAAGTATTCTAGCCATTGTTTAAACAATGTTGCATTTCTACTTGTATTATGTAGAGTGTGGTGATCATATCAAGAACAGCCATAAGTAAATCTCAGATTTTTTTAATGACAGAAATAGCAATTAATAAATAATAAGTAGTTTAGTTTCATAATTGTATTTAGTATGGGTTAGTGAATAAATACATTTTTGTGGATATAGTTTTGAAAACCACTGGTCTCTGAAATTATTTTGACTATTATAAACCATTCAGTGTGAATGGGTTTATATGAAATAAAGGGCCATTAGTTAGGATTGAGGAAATGCAGTCCAGCAGCTGATAAATTAAACCAATTTTAGGCAAAAAATTAAATTCTGAATATGTGTATTTTAAAAATAATTGTAAACACTGTAACTGGGCATAGTACTGACTGTTATATTTGAGATCCAGATCTATTTAGATTTAACAAAGATAAATAAATATCCTTTTATTTCATGGTATTGTAATGGAAGAAGTGTTATATGTTTGGTGCACACATAAAGTTTTTGTGCTCTAAACAGTATTTTTATAATCACAGGTGCAAACTAAGTATGAGGTGTTTATATTTGTAAAAGGCTCATTTCTGTTTGTTTCATATATGAACATTATGATATTATTTTGTTTCAAACAATATTTCCAAATAATGATTACTTTTTAGTTTTACTGTTTCATGGTGTATACTATGTATGGTGTTTGATTAAGTACCAAGTACAAGAAGTAGGTCTTTAATGCCCATCTAGTATTGCAAAAGTAAAATTGATTGTGTTGTGCAACTGTTTTCTAATTTTCTATAGTGTTTGCACTGAAGGTTTTTGCAAATTCTATCAAAGATGTTTGCTTTTTTTCCCTTTCCTTTACAGATTATTAATCACCAATACTATAGCAGCATTCTTTTTGTTCCCATTATAGTTATAGTTGCTGTTAGTCATAAATGATATGACATTTTCTATGATTGTAATTTTATTTGAGTGTAACTCAAATGTAACTTTATTTTTTTCTTGTTACTTCAAATGTAATGTTGAGAATGTGAAACTAAATTGTTAGCTTATTCCTTCAGGTGTTTTTAAAACCTTGTATTATATTTCAATTTTTTAAAGCTATAAACGTAAATGAATTGAGCAACATGTTTTGAATAATCTTCATCATATTAAGATTAGGCTGTAACCATTCTTCCCCTGCTTTCTAGAGTATCCCTCTATTGGTAATTTTCTACCTTATGAGGAAAAAAATTGCCAGACAATTGACACTTGAGAAATATTGTATTATTTTGAAAAAACAAAATTGGAATATAACTAGTCTCATCAAATTTATACCATATGCAGTTTCACAAAGTAGGATTATTTGTCCTAAACAGGCTGTGAATCAAGACAGTACTTGGAATTTTCCACTTTCCCCCCAACCAAGTCCTAAAGAAGGAAATAATTCAGTTTGGAGAGCCCCTGTTAACAATGGAACAGAAATCTGGGAAACCAACATTCGTAATCGTAACAAAGGAGCAGGAGCACAAACTGCTAACAATGGTCCATCACAACCATGGGGCCACACTCCATCAACGCATATAGGTGGAACATGGGGTGAGGAAGAAGATACAACTAATATGTGGACTGGTCCAAGTCCCACTAGAATTGTGCATGCTAACTCTCCTGATAATAAACATTGGGGAGGAAGTGTTGGGAAGCCTTCGAACTCTTGGGGTGAGTATGGAAGAGAAATAGAACTGAACAGTTTATTAAAAAGAAAAATTAACATTCATTATGTAAAATTTTCTGCCCCTTATTTATTTTTGCATGGAGTATTCTCAACTCAAATTTAAAATACCCAGTTTCAGCTGCTTTCTCAATTTTATACTGGCTGCAGCACATATGCAAAGAAAAAGTAGAGGTATGATTTCTGTGAGAGATAACTTATTAATAGTACTACTTTACTCTTTGTTATGATTTGATTCATAAGACCAATTTCCAATTCACATGACAATGATCACTATACAAACATGTTTGTTTTTTTTTACATTTGAGCATTAAATTAAGGGACTGTGTGAGGAATTTTCTTAATTTTATTTGAAACAAAATTGCAAGTATACCTTTTAAAAATGTTTTCTGTTTATTACTGTTAGATAATTACGTCAATTAAGTGCAAAATTAACAGCAAGGGCTGAAATGATAAATTGTAATGATGGTAAAGAATAAATACAATATGGCTAGTTTGGATGATATAACCCCAGTTAAGGAACTTCTCAAGTCTCGTTTTAAAGTTCACAGCAGGCCAGTAATGACTGAGCATATGTAAAAAGATGTCACAAAAAAGTGTTTGGTTTGTGACTAATCAGTCACAGCTTTGTGAGCTAATCTCAAAAGATGAGAGAGGGTTTTCTGTGTAAAAAATATTTTGACTTGAGCATCACACATGCAGTAGATAATTATTTTGTGAAAAAAGTAATATGATTGACGGATGGAGTAAGTGCCCTATATAGATTACTTTCTAAAGATTCACTGGTTTTGATTTACTTTAGGAAATTTGCAGGCCATTAACTACACCTGCATATAGTTGAAAGTTGACAAGTTTTTAGTAAACATGAAAGGTTTGTTATACACAAAAAATTAGTGTTTTTTATAATAAAGCATTTTTACTAAAGATTTGTCTGAATTTACAAAGTTAGTCTGACTCAGAATTTGACTGATTGAATGTAAGGTGATATTCGTGTTAAGAATAAAAAGGTTTTTGTTTTTCTTATTTCAGTTTTCGTACTTTATCTACGATAATCTCTAATCTACTAAATGAATATCAAAGGTGTTTTTTGGTAAAGTTTTGTTATTTTCTCTACCTTAATATTAATAGTAGTAAAAAAACCTGAAGCAACATTTGAAAAATATGAAATCAAATCAAAAGTACATGTACTTGTTTTAATCTAGAATGACTACAGATTGTAACCAAAAATTATAACTATTATATTAACACTTTAAGCCTCTAACCTTTTCATAAATGCTTTTCATTTAATTTTGTTTGATTGTTTGTTGAAACATGTCTAACTACTAAACTAGAGTAACAAAGCCAAAATTGCCCAGTGAGAGCATAGCTCAAGTTTTGAAAGTATGATCAGCTCACATTCATACCATGTAGAAAAATTCATCTAATTTTCTTTTCATTAAAATTTTATTTACTTTTGTAAAGATAAATTGAAAAATGTACATAACTTAGTACTTTAATGTGGGTTTTTTGCAGTCAAAGTCTCATTACAAGTTAATCCTAATTTTTGTTAGGGGTGTTGATGATACTTTAGTGAATTTTATTTATTTCAAATATACATTGTAGGACACAGAATAGTAACACATGCAAAGATTCTAGTGTTCTCTTATAACTTATTATTTAACTTGCTTTATGATAAGGTATAGGTGCTTTAAAAAAATATTTCGACTGGCAAAATGACTGTGATAGAGAAGGCTGAAATTGCAGGACAAATAATTCAAAATCTGTTGTCAGAATGAGTTAATCATATAAGGTATTGAGTAAATTAAAATATTCTCTTTCTATTGGTTATAAGTAATCCAATAGCAAATGTAGGAAAGAATCATTGATATATTTTGAAAGAATATGATATAAGGGCATGGTATACAAGTTTGACTTTCTGGTTTATACCTTAGTGAAGCAAGAAGGTTGGAAGCCATAAATATAGATTGTCTAAGCAATATCTTTACTATTACTATGTAGTTTATATTAAAACTCAGAAGCTCAAACTCGAGTGGAAAGAATATCAAATGGGCAATTCAGAATGAAGTGTTGTGATACAGAAAATTTATTCAAATATTTCCCTTTGAGATTAAAAAGTTAAAACTTATAGAACACAACTTGAATTTTAAACTACATTTTGATACTAAGCTTATTAATATACATTGATAATAAAGCTGTTTATTTATATTTTAAATGTAACTCTGTAAAAGGTCATGCAGATGTACACTTTGACCCCCATCTATGCACATGGGGTTAAGTCGTGCCATTTTTCAGAAAAGTAAGATTAGTAGAAGTCTATTAAATGATAAGTTTTTAGGAGTAACTTTGAATGGTCTTGAATGGAGCTTGAACGAATTAGTAATGGCTCTTGTCATATAGCTAG